TAATTCTACAAAGACTCTCGATATCTCAACTCAGGAACGATGCATGACAAAATTTGCATTAAAGACGGGATTTCGTCGACTTCATATTTCGGCACAAGCTTCCCCCAGATGCCGCAATGACACTTTACTTTCTACCCTTGAGGCACTACAATCCCTTCCGTTATTTTTTATACGTCGTTGTTTGTAATATTTCTCTATATTGATTGTTCCACATTTATTTATTAAATGATATAAAAGAGAAACAAGAAGAAATATATCAAATCAAAATCATGTTTTCAAAAAGATCATTAAGAAATTTTTTTTTATGCACATGAAAAATCGCAACATCTCGTGATTTTCAACGAAGATGTTAAATTTTAAATTCACGACTCGTGCACGAAGAAGTATATAGGGAGATAAAAAAATAGAAATAACGCACGCAAAAGTAATCAAAGCGAAGGACGACGCCGATAATAATGCGGAAAGACGTGGGGGTCGACGTCGCGTCGGGAAAAAGTTTTCCATGTTCGCCGAAAATTTTCCTGCGACAGCATCCGCCATTCCCTCACGCCTCGCCGTGACAAATAGCGTCAGTTTCTCTTGTACGTCACGCAATTTCCTCTTTCGCAGCGGTAAAAGACACGCTTATTCGCATCCAAGTTATCCACGCGGATATTCGCGCCGAGACACGTGCGAATCACTAGTTACTGGGTGTCCTAAAACTATCGACTGTCGAACAAATTTTCATTCAAATGTCTTTGAAAAAAATATATATCTCAAGAAAAACTTTAATATGTTTTTTGTGAAAGATTTCTAATCAATAACAAAATGCTCCAAATATCAAAGGGGCAGAGTTTTATAACAGAAACAATTTCTAAATTGTTATAAGTTTCTATATTTTTTCATCACGACAGTTTGATTATGCAAGATACTTTATTTATTATTTTCAATAAGTTATGATCGTAATAATTATTTTATAATTGTAATATATCTTGATTAGAATATTTACCAATAAATAGTTGGATGTTGTGCTACTGGTAGATTCCCTTTTTCTTTGGGATCCGAAGTCCCTCTGAATCAGCGACGTCATTTTCTTCTCATATTAGTGCACTATAATTCCACACTTCGCGATCAACTCAATTAAGAAATTATTACACACTTTGTCGACAATAAAATAAAACACACGCACTTTATGTACGTCATTCATCAACAACGAATCTGTAACAAAACAATACAATAATAATTAATTATACAATTTAATAATCTTCTGTAGAAATGCGATAAAAAAACAGAATATTGTTTTTTTTATTCAAAATATACGTTATTAAATTTTTATTTTTATTATTATGTTTTATATATAAGAGATACATAGATTTATATAATTAATAAATTTTATTAGTTAATTTATTATTTAGTAAACTAAAAAATTTATTATTAATAATATCATTTAAATTAAAACGTATTTGGCGAGATTTTTGTAAATGGCAAAATATTATTTAAGATATATGCGAGAATTGTACACATAGAACTATTCATAGAATTTGACTTTTCTTCTTCCGCCATGACTTTCATAATGCGCAAGGAAACGGAAATATCTCGCGTCATGAATTATTCCCGTTTGTTTCGTTTTCTCATCGCATCACACTTCCGCTGTGGATTCTTTCTATGTTTATTATCTTCTTCAGAAAGGTCGCGGCCTTGACAATTTCTGCGGGATAATCTTGTTACTTCCGTCAAGAATTATTCGCCATAAGTTTTTGAACTGTCTTCCATATACATACAAAAGAATGGTGCTGAGAGATAGAAAAGTACACTGAGAAATTAAAATTAAAATTCCTTTAAAAATTTATAATAATAATTAATTTATAATAATTTTATAATAATAATTAATATAGTTCGTTATGTAATAATTTAATTATAGAATTTTAACATTACCTCTCTCTCTCTCTCTCTCTCTCTCTCTATTAACTAATTA